AATTCTGGGGGTTGAAGTCCACTCATCTTAAAGTGGCCAAGTTTGGACAACACTGGCCTAAAGTCATCTGATGAGCTTCTTGCAGCTGAACCTGGGAAGTAAAAAAAAAAATCTGTCTACCAACCTGTGCCATACCTGCATGGTAGATTATGGTTCACAGCCTTCATCCTGCAGTGGACTGAGTTAGGGTGATGATGATATCTGAACCAGATTTCTAAATAGAATGCACTAAATTTTCTACTTTGTAATGAACTTGCATGTGAAATCAAAGCATAACAAAATGGATGGCGGAGAGTTAAAATTTTGGTGTTTCTCTAATAGCTGAAGAAGTATGATAAAATTATGGAAACCTATAATTAAGTTGAAAAAACATAATAAAAATACATACATGATTAATCACTTTCATATATAAAATATCCTCTATAATAATGCAATATTTTATTTTTTTTAAGAAGAGGGACTGAATAATTTTTCGAAGGTTACAAAGAACAGAGAAGAGCACCATGCTAAAAGGAGTGGAGGGAGTTAAAATGTTGAGGTCTAGAAGGCAAATAAGCTTACATTAATATAGTTTAAAAATCTGCCATGCTTAGAACAAAATCCAGTAATACCAAATATAGAAGGTAATAAATATGGAGCATTTCTAAACTTTGAGTTCAAAAATTAAAACAAACCAGTACAGTGGTACCTCGGGTCATGAACGCTTCTGTTCACGAACAATTTGGGTCACGAACAGCACCGTTTGCAAAATTTTGCTTCCGTTCACGAACTCCGCATCGGGTGATGAACAGGATCTGCGGCCATTTTCCCTGTTCCTAAATACAGTGGTACCTCAGTTCACGAACGCTTCTGTTCACGAACAATTTGGGTCACGAACAGCACCGTTTGCAAAATTTTGCTTCCGTTCACGAACTCCGCATCGGGTGATGAACAGGATCTGCGGCCATTTTCCCTGTTGTGACACGTGGTCATGGCTTCCTGTAGGGAGGGGGACTCTCCCTCTAAGCAATAACCGCCTCCCCACCCGCCTTCCTGTCCTCCACGCCAGAAGTCGCCTCGAGCAAGGTTAGCATTCTCTCTCTTCATACTGTACTGTACTGTACTG